TCAGTGAGACCACAGAAGGGATTGCCGGTCTGGAGAGAAATTCCCGGCTACCTGGCGGGCCGAGCCAGAGGTGGGGAACATCTGGCCCGGGGGCCACAGAAGGCCCGCGAAGTCATCTGGCCTGGGCTTGCCAGGCATTAGGGGCGAGTTAACTGAATGTCTGGCCCTGTGGTCGGCAAACTGTGGCTCGTGAGCCACATGCGGCTCTTTGGCCCCTTGAGTGTGGCTCTTCCTAAGCCGTAGGAGTCCCCTGATTAAGTTAATCACAATGTACCTACCTATATAGTTTCAGTTTAAAAAATGTGGCTCTCAAAAGAAATTTCAATCGTCGTACTATTGATATTTGGCTCTGTTGGTTGATGAGTTTGCTGACCACTGGTCTGGCCCAATAGACAGGCTGAGTTTTAAGCGGATAATTTGGGCCGAGGATGATGTATTGAGAGACATCTGGGCCAGGTGAGCCGGGAGCACCGGCCGCAGCTAAAGGGGTGGCTCTCGGGCGGCTCCTCCCCGCGCTGGGTGCGTGTCCGCAGTGTCTGCCGTTTCCCCGGAATGTCCGCCGCGCCGGCTGCGGGATCTGGTGCCCACATTCCCTGAAAGACAAACGCAGGGCAACTGGTGGACGCTGCTGGGCTTCCGGCCTCCGGCCCTCCTTGTGCTGGTGTCTGACCTTAGCTGACCACCCGGAGGCTGTCACACCTCTGGATGAGAAAGGGCAGTGAGCGGCAGCGTCCGGGCAGGCAGGGAACCTTCCGGAAGGCTGTTGGCATCGTATGTGGTGTCGGAGGGACGGGCTGACAGGCTGCACGCTGGCTTGTGGGATTTGAGCAGCTGTCAGCGTCCGATTGCGAAGAGGCCACTGGCAGCGGAAGGGGCTGTTCTCTCCTCCTGAGTCCACACAGGAGGCCTGGGGCCTGCCCTCGGCCGCCCCCGGGGGGACTTCAATGAGAGGGGAGCCGGGTCCTCAGCCAGGCCTCCCCGCTCCGGTCCTGGGAGACCCCTGGTTCACAGGAGGTTAGCTGGAGACACGTGGGGGTGGCTTTTCATTTTCTCTTCATTGTGACATTCCCCCCCCCAATTGTTTATTGATTTTTAGAGAGAGAGGAAGGGAGAGGGAGAGAGAGAGAGAGAAACATCGATGTGAGAGTGAGACAATGATCGGCTGCCTCCTGCACCCCCTCTACTGGAGATCGAGCCAGAAACTCTGGCACGTGCCCTGACGGGCAACCCCTCTGGGCGTGGACACCCGCCACCCCACCTCCCCAGCCCAGCGGCCAGGGCTGCTGTGAAATTCCCCAGCTGACCACTTCCCGGTTGCTTCTCTGGTGCTCTGTGGCCCAGGACCTCTCTCATCACCTTGTCGTCCCATCTCCTGGGAGGGCATTGCCAGGCGCTGCCTGCGACACAGGAGTCGGATCTGGGAAGGGTCGGAAGAACCGAAAATCGCTGGAGGGTTAGGAAGCCCGTTCGTGCTGTCACAGCAGAGACACCCTGTCTTGTGGGGCCGGGCATCGCTCCCCTCGCCCGCCCCTGAGGCCACAGCGGCCATCAGGCCTCAGCTCAACGCCGGGCCCTCCTGTCCCCTGTCCCCTCCCCAAAACTCACACTGGCTTCCAGACCTCGGCTGTTTGTTGAGAATCTAAACTAAACTTCCCGTGTGGCTGACAGTCTCCTTTTCATCCTTTTTAAAATGCTCCTTCTCGACATAGTGGGGTTTATGAATCAGCTCTTGGAAGAAAGTAAAACTCCTGAGCTAAACACCCCCCCACCCCTCAGGTGGGCGTGGCTGCCGGCTTCCTTCCTCGGGGGCGGGCTGACCTTGAACCAGCGCCTCGGCTACTTCCTTCCTCTTTCTGTTCCTCCGGGATCCCATCCCTGGTGCTGA